GGGATTCACACATCATTCTTGAATTTCATTTTCCTTCTTCAGTTTTTACTTTTTTACCCATTAGGTTGGTGCATCTCTTCAGTCCCTCTCTGATGGTTATCATTGATTTTACTCCTTTTGAAAATTTCTGTAGTTCTTGCTGAATATTATTGATACCATCTGTTCTTTTCAAGACAAAAAAGGGGAAGCTGTGTGTTTCCAATTGGGAGAACATGGATCGAGCACAAGGGCAATCACACTGTATCTGTGTCTCTCTGCACATCTTGATTAGTGGAAAGCAATACCGGCTCTAATAATATGACTATAAGCTTTTTATTTATTTATTATTATTACCTTTTTTATGTTTGTCCAGGTCTCAAGTTCCTAATTGTTGAAATATACTATATAGTTCTAAATGTCTAAAATGGGTAGACCTCTACTCCTCGCATATATATGAAAAAATGGTGAAAACACAGCAAAAGATGGAGTTGAAATAGGGCTTCCCCCTAAAATTCCAGACAGATTAAAAACATCTATCTCATTTAGTAACTTGAAGTTCTAAGCTGTAGATGGTCGGTATCTTGTTCTTCATGTCATTGTTTTATATAAAATTTTAAATATAGTTAGCTGCCATTTTCTTTTGCAGTTTCATGCCAACTGCATCGATCCATGGTTGTGACAACAAGGCACGTGTCCTGTGTGTAAACTTACTGTGGGATCGGGATGGCAGGAAAGCAGGGGGAGCGAAACAGATGGTGATGACATGGTTTAAGGACTTGCACACTTGTAGACTCTATATGCACTAAAGTGCATCCATCATAGATTTACATGTCCGAATCGTCTGCATTGTTACATGTATATATAAAATCTGTAGGATTTTTAAGCTTAGGACTTGGGAATAATTGTAGTCAATCTGTACTCATTTATCTGGATTCGCTTAGATGATACAAAAGAGAAGGCACTGCATTCAATCCCTTCATGCTCGCGACAATGGTCATCTTCCTTGGCTGTGGTGATTTCTTGTTGAGCGGCGCACGAGGAATGAGGGCTGCAGCTGGAGGGTGTCTGGGACTTTGGGTTACATGTATCCAGAATAACTTGTCGGGTGTATAAAGAGGTATTTTTAAATTTTATACGGAAATTTTCTCTATGAGGTCTGGCAAAGATATGTGCTCTGAACTGGCTTAATGAGATACTTCAATATTTTGCTTATCCATTGAATTTGTGTTGTTCTGTTGATAAGGGAAGTTATGTACTATATAGTATATACTATTGTCTGCAAGCAATTCAGCTGAGTGCAGATATTAGAAATAATCTTGATGCTGTCTAATTGCAAGTAACCCTTTCAAACTTGAGTATGTGTGATAATATTTACTTGTGATGTTAAATTCGTATGATTTAGGCTTCAAGCCTGAGAACCATTACCATGTCAACAACTCTTGAGAGAGAAATGGAGGAAGGAGTGGAACAGTATATTTTTATTCCTAAATTGCACGCAGGTCCACTTAAAGAGTTTCATTACGTACTCCTTGATTTCACACTAACTCAACCCTCTATATTCAGCTGTGGCAGTGGTAAAAGAGCAGGTCTTAAATGTCCATCTATGCTCCTAGGTTTGAATTTTATCCCCATAAAAAAAATAAATAAATAAATCTATTAGATTCTCTCGGCAAGAATTTTCAATATCCAAGTGCAAATGCTAATTATGCTATGAGCGCGCACGGAAAGAAAAAGAAAGAGGAAGATACTATTCCAAATGGAAAAGTATGTCAAATCATTTCATAGCTAAAAAGTGACATCATGTGCGACGGTTTGGATATTATAGATTTCGAGGGACAAGGAGAGGAAAAAAAAAAAACATAAAAAAGAAATGACTGTGAGAGTGTATTTGGTTAGTTAAAAATAAAAGAAAAGAAATGGTAGTGAGAGATAGGAGGGATAATTATCCCTACTTATCCCTTATTATTGCTTATTTCATATCTCTCTAAAAATGAGAAGATATGAAAAGAAAAGATAGCGTAAGTAGTATTTTTACAATTTTGAAACTATCCATCAACAATTCAAATGAGATAATTATATTTCACTCATATCTCATCTATTTAAAAGGACATATATGATAGTAATTTAGTTGTTATTTATTTATTTTTTTCTCCCCCTCTATTATATCAAAACAAGAATATTATCTTTTCTTTTTTCCCTCTATATACAAACAGAGCCTTATGAATGGATCTATATGTCAAAATTTTTTTTTTTTTAGGCAGTTTAATATTTTGGTTTACGTGGCAACTCAAATGAAAAGCAAGAACATAACTAGAAGCCATAATTAAAAGAACAAAAATAAGAATAAGAACATTGTCCTCCCTAAACATTTCCCATTCATAATATTGAATCTACCTTTCGAAAAAAAATATTGAATCATAAAATGAGATCAATTTCTTTGCTATTATATTTTGTGGTAAACATTTACTCCCTCTGTCCCATTTTAATTGTCATCGGAACTGTGACATATTTGTGAGTCACGGTTCCCGAAGGCGACAATTAAAGTGGGCCAGATATTGTGTTATTTATTTTATCTTGACAAAAAATAAAATAAAATAAATGATTATTTTATCAGATAAGCTAGTTAACTACAAATTAGGAATTAATTGCTTTAGGGAGGAGGCAAGAAGGTTAAGCTTTTCCTATTTTCTTACCATTTATTAACCAGTATAAGTTCTCTGGAAAAACTACTCCAACTCAGAGTGTGCGAGACCATTGAAGCATAAACCAGATGCTATGCAGCATTTGCGGGCATTTTATATACCATAAAAGTAGGTTAACAAACTTTCCTTTGTATAATTTACCATACCATTCCTGTTAAAATTATGTAGGTGATGATAGGTAGCATTTGTTAAACAAAAATATCATACATTTGGATTGAGAACCTCTCACTGTGACAAATGAGTGAAAACTTCCATTACTAGTCAATGTACAAGGTTGTGTAACTCCTACAGCTTATTGGTTAAAAATGAAAACCCCTCACCTACTTTTAGGCCTCATATCTCCTCTCTATATATCCTAATAATTACACCTTACAGAATTCTCTACTACTCTAAAACTTTCTACTCCCTGCAAGTTTATACAATATCTTTACTAATATAGAATCTTCTAACTCTCTCTCTCTGCAATCTCCTTATCAATTTGGAAGACCCTAAAACTCTACTCTCCTCATGCCATACATGGATCATGTAGAACTTCAACTCTCTCTTAAGCACTAATGTGTCGCTTACGTGGCGCAACCTCATTGCAAATTGATAGTGAGTAACAACACACACAGTGAGAACGCCCTCATGATAAACACTCTAAAATTTTCCATTATCCATCCACTCTAAAATCTTTCATGTATAGCCCTTTATTGTAATTTTACCATAATTTTACTATATGGATTGTTTGATGTAGGTGGTACTTGGATGCAATACAATTTTATCTTTGTATTTAGTATTTTCAAAAAACAACTTAGAAAAGAAGAAAGAAAGAAAAATAAAACAAAAGTGATATATTGTACAAAAACAAGTGTATATCCAAAAGTACGTACCCTACAAGGAGCGTAGTTGGTGCAACTACAAAATCAGTACAGTGAGTGATTAACGCACTATGAATGTCCAATTATACGGATACTACTGCCATGTATTTTACGTAAATAGTTGGTTGGCTTCATGGTTAAGCTTGAGTGATTAGCTTGTTTACAGTAAAAAAATAACGAAACAACCAAAATTCTCTATCATTCTTTTCTTGCTTGGAAGAAATTAGGGTGGGTCAAATGTCCTTCTCTGCGTACTGTGGGCTTTGACACTCCTAAGGCTCATTCTGGTTGGGAGATATGCCATCTCCAACCAACGTTTATATCTCAATCGGTTATCTTTGAAAATGATTAACATGGCTTTATTTGGATAGATTGTGACCCACTGATTTTACTTGATCAACAAGATTAACGGTTGGAGTTCTTGGAATGTCTATGGCTTAACAGATTGTTTTTTCTTACCAAACTTTATTTATTTATTTATTTTTTATATGTTTTAGTTTAATTTAATTGTGTTTTTGAGACATTCACTTTTAAAATAATGTTAATGAGTGCTACTTGCTAGAATAATGTTCATTATTTAAGTTTGAATTAATATTTTTTTGTGAATAGTATTCATTTTTAAATTGATATATTTCTTTGAATGAAATTAGTTGTTTTATAAATATAAAAATGTTATGAGTCTAAGATATTAAGGAATGAATTCAGTACATTGTCAAACAAGTTTTTAGTTTAATACCTTCACCGTTTAAAATTTCAACGTTTGAAATTCATAAATAAAATTTTCAAATGCATAATTTCAGTTTGATTAAATAGCAACTTAGTCAAATAATTCCGTTAGTATTAAGTTTTTAGAGTATTTTTCTTAAATTGCTGGTTCGACTGTCACCGAAGGTGAGATTTATATTTAACCGATTCAAGTGATTTACTTACTGGTGACCATTCGAGAGTTCAAAGCGACTATTGATTATTGGTTAAAAATTTATAAATGAAGAGTTTTTTTCTCTTAGTTTTTATTTTATTATTTTTTAAGCAAGCATAATCAACGAAGAAATGGGAAGAATCTAATAATTTAACTATGGGCTTTAAAATTAATATACACACACACACATTATTGAAATGACGATATTTATTTATGAGGATAAGGGTTGACGGCAACAGACAGAAGGTCAAATCAGCTACAATTGACTTCAGCAACACTCCAAAAGTAGCAAAACCAACAGGAGTTGGTGCATGTATTTTCACTGATTTTCTTTACTAAATTTTTGTCTGTGATTCTTACTCTAGACTGAAAACGTCTCTGATCACCTAATAAATTAACCAGACACAACCTACCACGTCTATATAAACAAATCCTCAAAACCTTTCATGAATCATTCCAAAGTAAGGAGAAAAAAAAAGTTCAATTTTGTCTCCATTCATTTTCTTTACTTGGTAAAGAAAAAACTAGATATATAAAAACATGGGTGCTTCTCTTATTCCAACACCAGGAGTACTAGTGGTTACTTTGGTTTGTGTCATGAGCTGCCTTTGGTTGTTTCCTGATGTTGCAGTTGCTAAGCACGCAGGCATTACAAGACACTACAAGTTCAATGTATGTGTGTGTATAAATAAATATATATATATGTGTGTTAATCCCACCAACGGACCTTATTTTTGTAGTAGTTCATGAAAGAGTACTTGTTCTATTGTTTTGTGTTTTCTTTATTGCAGATAAGGTTGCAAAATATGACCAGATTGTGCCACACAAAGACCATGGTGACTGTCAATGGCAAGTTCCCGGGGCCTAAAATCGTCGCTAGAGAGGGCGACCGTCTACTTATTAAGGTGGTTAATCATGTTTCAGACAATATCAGTATCCATTGGTATGAATTTAACCATATATCAACTTTCTTAGCATTGTTTTCAATACAAAATGGAAAATGATTTGGAGTCCTACAGTCAGACAAATCCAAAAGTATCACTGTGAGTAGGACCCCCTTACAGTGATCACTTCAACTGTCAGACTCCCTATCAACACTCAAACAAATCCTCCCATTGTTTAAAGTCACCATTAATGTTGTGTATATATTATTTTTATAACCTGATTACCAAACTTATTTAATACCATCTATTTAATTATATGTTTGTTAGGTTATGATTGTGTTTTGGTGAATTGTGGATGAGGAGAACAGGCATGGCATTCGACAACTTCAGACCGGATGGGCTGACGGACCGGCATACATTACACAGTGTCCCATTCAAACTGGCCAGACCTATGTGTACAACTACACCATTGTTGGCCAAAGAGGGACTCTCTTTTGGCATGCTCACGTTTCATGGATGAGAGCTACACTCTATGGACCTATTGTCATCCTCCCCAAGCACAATGTGCCCTACCCATTTGAGAAACCCTACAAGGAAGTCCCCATCATCTTTGGTAACCACCAACTAAACATCATATATATGTTAATTATCTCATGGTTTGAAACACAATCTAAATTATACTAACAACAAACTATATGTGATTGATATATAATGCAAAATATAGGTGAGTGGTGGAACACTAATACGGAGGCAGTTATTAACCAGGCACTTCAGACCGGAGCTCCCCCGAATGTTTCTGATGCATACACCATTAATGGACTCCCAGGGCCACTGTATAATTGTTCAGCAAATGGTATATGTCTAAATACACTACAACATACTATATCACTTTTTTCAGGAACAACATTCCGTGACTAAAAAAAGGGTGCCATCATACCAACACTAATGCATTGGATCCTATCAGAACTCTGTAGTTAAGCATGTTTGAATGACAGTAATACTAGAATTGGCGACCCTCTTAGAAGTCCTCGTGTTGCACCCCTATTGTCTTTAACGACCAACAAAAATACTGCGTCACTAAAAATTACTGCATGGAAGTACTAATTACTTATTTTTGTTTATTATGGTACTTCGCAGAAACATTTAAGCTGAAGGTTAAAGCCGGGAAGACGTATCTCCTTCGTTTGATCAATGCTGCACTCAATGATGATCTATTTTTCGGAATAGCAAATCATACCCTCACCGTTGTTGAAGCTGATGCGGTTTATGTTAAGCCATTCCAAACTGACACTGTCCTCATCACACCAGGACAGACCACCAATGTTCTTCTCAAGACCAAAACTCAACCACCCAATGCCACTTTCTTGATGGCTGCATTGCCCTATTACACCGGCCTAGGGACGTTTGATAATTCCACAGTTGCCGGAATTCTTGAATACACAAAACCGTCTAGTCCTTCTTCTTCCAACGCTTCAATAAAAGGCCTTCCACTCCCAACCCTCCCTCCCATCAACACTACATTTGCCACCTCCTTTGCTGCAAATTTTAGCAACAAATTTCGCAGTCTGGCAAACTCTCAATTCCCCGCCAACGTGCCCCAAACTGTCCAAAAGCGATTTTTCTTCACTGTAGGGCTTGGAAGCAACCCATGCCCAAAAAACCGAACTTGTCAAGGTCCTAATAATGCCACAAAATTTGCAGCTTCTGTCAACAACGTCTCCTTTGCTCTCCCTACCACAGCCCTCCTCCAAGCCCATTTCTTCGGCCGGTCCAATGGCGTTTACACTACTGATTTCCCAAGCACCCCTCTCATCCCATTCAATTATACAGGCACTCCACCAAACAACACCAATGTGGTCAATGGCACCACCAAGGTGGTGGTGCTCCCATTTAACACCACTGTGGAATTAGTAATGCAGGACACCAGCATTCTTGGCGCCGAAAGCCACCCTCTCCATCTTCATGGCTTCAACTTCTTTGTTGTTGGACAAGGATTTGGCAACTTTGACCCTAACAAGGACCCTTCCAAGTTCAATCTTATCGATCCTGTCGAAAGAAATACCATTGGTGTGCCCTCGGGTGGATGGGCAGCCATCCGTTTTCGTGCAGATAATCCAGGTATATAACCACTTCTTATATTATATCAAGAACAATATATATGAATATTAAACACATTAATATACACAAAAAGAAGAATTGTGTTCTTTGTGTACAAAAACTAAGATTGCTTGTTGCATATATTGATATGTGAGTGGATCAAATGCAGTGTTGTATTGCATTTGACGGTTCACATCATTCATATATGTGATCGCACACACGTGTGAGTGATTAGGACCATCAAATACAGTACAACATTATATGTACTGCAGAGGATCTGGACTCATTGATACACATAATGCATTGATCAACTACCAAAACCCAACCAAGTTTATTCCCAACACAACTACTAGTTTATCCTTTATATATAAATGTATCAGGTAAATCAAATTTGATCTTTCTAGCTAGTATATAATTTGGGCCATTGCTAGTATTGATAAGTGGTATAATGAACTTATTTATATATAATTAGAATCATAATTATGAAAACTAAAAAAATTAAGATATGTACGTAATTGTGATGTTCAATTTATTGGAGTAATAAGCAAGTAAGATATGTTGTTTTTTATTTCCATGTTATATAATGAATTATTGATTCATTTGTCTCAATTATATATATGTTGAATATAAATTGTCTAAAATGTACAGGTGTTTGGTTTATGCACTGTCACTTCGAAGTTCATCTGAGCTGGGGGTTGAAGATGGCATGGATAGTGTTGGATGGAAAGCTCCCAAATCAGAAGCTGCTTCCTCCACCGTCCGATCTTCCCAAATGTTGACCTTTTTTTTTTTATGCATGGCTCCTCCTTCAACCAGATTATCTTGCCATGGTTTATGTAACTTACGTTCACAAATTACTATATTGCTATATATTTTTGTTTTATTTTTACTGAGAACTAAGAAAGATCCAAAGAGAGTAATACTATAGAAGAGCCAAGGTTTGGCATTAAGCCACTGATTTGTTTGTTTTTCTTTGTATAAACAATAACTCGGTGGGGCAATTTTGTACAATTTGAGAGGTGGAAATGCTTTGTAGAGAGCCTCAATAATAATGTAACTGCTCACAATTATATTTTTGTGCAAATAATGAGAAAAAAAAAAGGTGTTTAACCACTTGTTCCTGCTAGTATATATTCAAGATGAATATCAACATGAAAACACACTGAGCATGATTTTTTTATTTTTATTTTTATTTTTTTTAATTTCATATTATTTAAAAGGTCTATTTAATAATTTGACCTTTACACTCCCCCCAAAAAAAAAAAATCTGTTTAAACCTTTTAAGTACAAATACATATATTCACAAGGTATATATATACAATATTTAAGTGGCCTAGAAGGCCAGGGATATCACCCTATAAATTGAACATCACAAGATGCTTTGGAGATCACTATTACTTCAGTTGTTTCTAACTTGTAGGCTATATATATATATATATATATATATATATAACAAACCACCTGTGAATGTTATAAATAAGCCCAAACTCCAATCATTGCAGTTTAATTGAATTTTTTTTTTTTTAAAAAAAAAAATTATCCATTTGATAGCTGTTCTATGCAATCAACATATATGGTGCAAGAAGAATTAAAGATCCTGATCATTATCTTTGAAATAACTAAAAAAATTAAAAAATTAAAAAATTAAAAAAAAAAAAAAAAAAGGTAGAGAAATATTACATTATAGTCAATGGCTGCATTGCTCAAGTTTTGCATATCCACTCTGATCTCCTTGGGTCAATATCAAGCCAAAGAACATCGATCTATCTTTTGATCTCATCTTCAGAAGGAAAGAGTAGTCATATATTTGGTAATGCAGCATCATCAAGATTCCAATATAGGACGTACCCTTTTGAGTACAGGGTGGGATCATGGGACCTCCTATCTTCCCCTCCACCTAATGAAGAAAGTTAGCCTGTGAATCTTGATGATGTTGCATCCCCAAACATTGACCGGTGCTATTGAGATCTTCCCATGCAAGTACACACACACACACATATATGCTTAAAAAGCAGAGAAAATCCTAACCCTAGAAAGAAAACAATCCATGTAGTCAAGGCAATAAAAGACAAGTTCTATTCAACCAAAAAAAATAAAATAGAAGTTCTTCTATATATAACAGGCAAATTCACTTCTTTAAATCATTATGCAAACTATGCAAGAAAGATACGGTTGAGTTGGAGAGAGGATTCAGCCCTGTGCACAACTGTACACACATCAAGGGTGGCTATCACCTCACATGAAGTGTGGTCCCCACAAACAGCATGAACCCCACTTTATGTGGAGTGATCTGGTCCTCACATGGAGTGCGGTCCCCACAAACAGCGTGAACCCCACTCTATGTAGGAGTGATCTGATCCATCTGGATTCAGATTGAGTTTAAGATTTGAAAAACAAAAATGTATATAAAATAAAAGGCAGTCATATAAGGAATAAGCACAAGTCACAACAAAAAAGAAGTTATATACAAGGACTAGGATAGGAATGAATACAGAGATGTTATCAAGTTCGAAGAGAGGAAGATCTTACAAGTATATAGCTTTTGGGGAGAGAAAGAGAGAGAGAGAGATTATTAATTAATTGGGGATGAGATGATTAGTGATCTTATACTAATTTGCTTTTCTTGTGTGAAATGCAGTTCTGGAGGACATTTCAGCACCAAGAAAATTGCTAACAAAGTCCTTCAAAGCGGATTTTATTAGCCTCTCTGTTTTGGGATGCTTACAAATTCTGCAAGTCTTGTGAGCATTGCCAAAAGCTCGAAGCCATTTCTAGAAGAGACATGGTGCCCCTGACCCCATCTTAATCATAGAAATTTTCGATGTGGGGCGAATTGATTTCATGGGACCATTTCCATCCTCCTATGGCTACGAGTATATTCTTGTAGCAATGGATTACGTGTATAAATGGGTTGAGGCTAAGGCTACCAAAACCAATGGTCATAAAGTTATGGTCAAGTTTGTTCAATCGAACATCTTCAGCCGATTTGGTACGCCTAGAGCCCTCATCAGTGACAAAGGTTCTCATTTTTGTAATCGCTACCTCAAATCCGTCCTTCTTAAGTACTCCGTCACTCACAAGGTTGCCACACTTTACCACCTTCAAACAAGTGGTCAAGTGGAAGTATCCAATCGTGAGATTAAGCATATTCTAGAAAAAAAAAACGGTTCGACTGGACCGCAAAGATTGGTCGTTACGACTAAACGATGCGCTTTGGGCCTACCGGACAGTGTATAAGACTCCCATTGGCATGTCACCATATCGACTTATCTTTGGCAAAGCTTGTCATCTCCCAATTGAGTTAGAGCACCGTACTTTTTGGGCCATAAAACGGTTCAACTTTGATCTAAAGTAAGCCGGCTCTACTCTCAAATTGCAGCTTAATGAGCTTGAGGAAATTCGAAATGATGCGTATGAAAGTACTAAAATTTATAAGGCAGAGACTAAGGCATTCCATGACAAGCACATTGTCAATAAGTCTTTTGCCCTCGAATAGAAAGTTTGGCTTTTCAATTCTCGGTTGTGACTCTTTCCCGGTAAACTCCGTTCACGGTGGGATGGTCCATATGTTATCTCATCTGTCTTTCCTCATGGTGCCATTGGACTTCATGATCCCACCGATGGATCTCTCTTTAAGGTTAATGGCCAATGGCTCAAACCTTGTGTCGATGGCATAGTCCCAACTCGAAAAGTGGAGATCAAAAGTCTTATTAACGGACCCAATTTACGACGACTGATGCGAAATCGTGGTTTGTCCAGCTATCGACGTTAAATTTAGCACTCTTCGGAAGTAATTTTTTCAATTCCAATGCTTTCATCTTCCAAAAGTGTCGTGGCTAATTTTCTAAAAATTAGCTAAGTGTCGCCCAAATTTGTACTTTTTTGAAACTATCTTGATTTACGTTCCAAAAGTCACTTTAGGCTTACTTAGTCATTTTACGGACTCGGTATCAGTTTCGGAATTTTTTAAAGTCATTTCGGCCATTTTATCGAAAAATCCAAAAATCACGGGGAATTTCGAACCCTAAAAGCAGTGCTATTGCAAACGAGCTCCGATTCTAGTTTTGAGGGTTATACCTAGTGTCTAGGGTCCATAGGAGCTTAAGTTTCTAATTGGACAACTTTTGGATTCTAGCACGGCTTCCGTTCGGCCAAAATACAAATCCAATGCATGCATGTGATTTAAATTTTTCCAAGGCAGGGATGAGCGCTCGTAATTAGATGATAACCTACTGTCTCCTTGCAGCTCAGCCAACAAGTGCTCGTAATTCCAAGTCTTCTCACTGCAACAGTGTACGAGCACTCGTTCATACCCAACGAGCACTTGTAATTCAAAGTTCGCTCACTGTCCAGCCCAACGAACGTTCGTTCATGTCATACGAGCGCTCATCCAACCTTAAATGCACGCTCGTCCAAGCCAATGCGCACTCGTTCCATATCATACGAGCTCTCGTCCAGCCCAACGAGCACTCGTCCTGTTCGGCCCACCTTTTTAAAGACCCTCGTTCTCCCTCTCTTTCCACTTCCCATGTTTTCTTAAACTTACCGCATGACTGCCCCATACATGCACCACCCCTTTACTCCTCTATCTCTTCCTCTCCCTCATTCATACACCCCATTCCTTTAAATACCCCCCTTTCACCCCTCTATTCTCAACCCTCGAAAGAAAGCCTCAACCTCCTCTTAGTCCTTCCTTCTCCGGTAAGCTCTCTCCCATTTTCTCTCTCTAATTTTCTTTATCTTCATATTGAGGAGTTTGGAAAATCAATTTTTGGAGGATGTTGTTATGTTGTTGAGGTTTGTGCTTTGCTAGGTGATGAGCATTAAAAAGTGCGCATTTAAACCCCTTAAGCTTGGGTATTCTAGGACCTTATCCTATCTTATTTTCTCGTTTTAGTCTAATTTCATATTATTTCCCTCTTTAGGCACTTATTAGCAAAATAAGTCAATTCAACCAAATTAGAGCATAAAAGAAGCAATCTCAAGCTGAATGGAAGAAAGGAGTAAAGTGGTGGAAAACAGCAAGCTTCGATCGATCAGACAAATCTTTGATCGATCTCACAGTGATCGATCCAGCCTTACCAAGATGGATCGAACCTCTTATCCTTATCCTCAAGAAATTTTCATCTTCGATCGATCCAGCATTCTTTCAGTCGATCGAACTTCTTTGATCTTATCCTCACCTACCACTTTTGTCTTTTTTTCAAAATATCTCGAAAATATCTCAGATTCTGTCAGTATTTCAAAAGGCGCCGCCATGGTTCGATCGATCTCACCACACTTCGATTGATCGAACTCCCTTAAGTGCGAAAAAAAAAAATAGAGTTCCAGCTAATTAAAAGGTGGCTCATGGTGCAATCATTTGGAGGTCCTAGTACACGAGGTCTGACCATTGGATGTGACATTTGAGCTACCTATATAAGGATTTTAAGCCATTTTACATAAAAAAAAAAGATATATATAATCTTGGAGAATGATATATAAACTTGAGAGAGAAATTGGAGGAGTCTAGTGATTAGAGAGATACACACCATTTGGGAGTTCTTCCATTCATCTAGGATTTCCATCAAGGAGAAGAAGATCATTCCTACTATGGAGATAGCCTTTGAGGGTTGGATGACTACATCAATGAGTGGCTAAACATCTTCTTGGGGCTAGAGTTAGCCTTAGCATGCCTTATAGACCTTGAGTTTTGTATTTGAGGGGATTTGTGTTGTAATTCTTGTCTTGACACTTGATTTATATATGAATCTTGTTTCTACAATGATTTGTGTGGTTTAATGCTTCCAATTGATCATTTCATTCTATTCATATGTCTATGTATGCTAGAATAGATGTTCATGTGTTTATTTTTAGGTTTTATGTTATTGATGCATGTCTGTGTGTTGATGCTATGAATCTAGAGATTGTCAAGGCATGGTACTTTAATGAAATACTCTTGTGGTGTATTTGATGGTTCATACATTTCTTGATGGATTATGCCTCTTCCTTAGTTTAATTAGTTTAATTTTTATGTCCTTAGATTAGTTGTAGTGTAGTTGCCTTACTTTCTTAGATGGGAGGACAATCTATGCAAGTAGTATATTTCTCTAGCTTGTTGATGTGTTTTGATTGTGAGTTTAAAGGAAGGAACAATGGCTTAATTTGATATATTGTACTATTTATTAGTTTGTCTAGACAATGTATACTTAATGAGTCATCCATACTTGTTGATTCAATCAATCACACACGCTAGTAT